CTTTCTTTCTTTCTTTCTTTCTTTCTTTCTTTCTTTCTTTCTTTCTTCCTTTCTTTCTCTTTCTCTCTCTCTCTCTGTCAATCAGTCAGTCAGTCAGTCACTCTGTCTGTCTCTCTCTCTCTGTGTGTGTGTGTGTGTGTGTGTGTCAGGGGGGGGTTCCAAAATTTTTTGGAACCCCTTCTGTAGGTGTGGCCTGCTTTCCGGGTCCACTGGTGGAACCTCTTCTAACCGGTTCGGTAGATTTGACGAACCGGTTCTACCGAATAGGTGCGAACTGGTAGGAACCCACCTCTGCAACGAGGGGATCATATTAATGTTGGGTGTTGATGTAGCAGCAGTGATTTTCCCGCCTCCAAATTACTATGCAGTGAAAGAAAGTTGGTTGGATTTATCTCTGTATGCTCAGATCAAAATATTTATTTTGGAAATCCACAATTACCCAGGTTTCTTCCTTAGTTGCTGACGTCTTTCTTTCTGGCTGCTAACAAGCGTGCCACGTCTCTCCCACTATTTTCTCCTCCTCCTGCCCTCAGCATTTCATATGTATACAATGCCTGCTTCCTTCCTACATATTGCCAGTTCTTTCCCAATATGCTGTGCCATCAACCGTCTGTACAGTATTGCGTTGTCACAGCTCAACTGCCTGACCCAGAAATTTCTGATTTGTCAGGAAAAAGATCTTACTCATCCTAGGGGCTGTTTGGGTTTTTAACTGAAGAGACTTATTTTTAGCAAAATCTATTCCAGGAAGTAAAGCGGGAAGGATTGGGAAAAGTTCTCCCTGGACTTTTCTGAATTTAGCTGACTCATCAAATGGCAGCTTCTGTTATTAATGGGTCTGTTTGCATATGAAAAGCCAACCAGTTCAGATTTCCAGTTGCGGAATAACAGAAGCATCAACATCTATTCTATATTAGTCGACTGATGTCACTGATGTTGTTTAGGTAGCTCATCCTTGAAAAGTATAACAATGGCCTTGATAAATTAGTCTAACATTGGATTCTGATTCCAGCAATGACTATTCAGCTTGTAGGAAGAAGCAAGAATTTTCAAGCAAGTTTTGAAGTGAGCACAGGAGAATGTTCCAGGAAGGAAAAATAAAAGTTTAGGAGAAATAAGGAGACAAAGTCCAATATTAGGGAAACAAATTAATTCTTGTTCCATTCATCTTTAATATATTATACCTGAGAACTAGTAGAGAAGAAAAAAATTTGAGCAAGTACCTGTTTTTCTTCAAGCTATCCTAGAGCCCCAATATCCGATATTCCAGGAGAAATGAGCCTCTATGTGAATTTTTAAATAAATAAAGCAACAAATATTGCATTTTGGCTACTGCCACTGAAAGTTGCTAGTAGACGTCTCCCAACAAAAGATAATTCTATATTGTGTAAAGAAATAATTGTTGTTCTACTAAATTAAAAGTCTTTTTGTTTTCACTTTTTTTATTCCCACCATTTAAAAAAATTCAGTCGTTTGTATCTTGGTTCATAAACAATTTTTCCCAGGTTTTTAAAAGTTATGTGACCAGTTCTATCCATAACTGTCTAAACCTGTTAGGCTACATATTCATGTATTTGCATGTTTATTCTTAATACGTTCCTTAATTCCAAAAGAAACAGAATTGTTGCTTCCAACAAACTCTTTTTTTTGTTGTTCTTGAAAATTGATATTAATAATTTTGAACATTGATAGACATTGATAACTGTATTCATAATTATTTACAAGGGGGGCGCATTGATACTGTTTTAGGAGGTCACAAT